TGCCAGTCGACAAGAGAGAATTGATTCACCCTCTTCTTATCATATAACGTTACTCTACTCAAATACGACGCTTATTATTATATGCTTGTTCTCATTCGATTGGATACATCAATCAGTGTACATGGTTCGTTTCTCATCTGTCTTGATTGCAGATCCACAGAAAACGGAAGACGGTGAGCTGTGTTATTGATCATGTTGCAGTTTGGTCTTGTTCATTTGTTTTTAGCATGATTCACTTGACGGACGGTGTGGAACAATGAGGATCATGCTGCTCTGTTCTCTTCCCAATTTGATTCGTCTCTTTGCTACAACAAGCAATTCACATTTGGCTACTTCACTGTGTGCAGTAGACGAACAATTTCCCAATTGGTCTCTTTATCCACACTGATTTGCTAACGCAAATAAACACGATCCGGTTGGACATTCTAATTGAAAATGACAAACGAATTGGGGGCACTGGAAATTAGTCTCTCATATGTTCCCATTAGATAGATCTAAGCACTCGAATGATTTGATCATCAAAACACAAATCAAACATATGCTATCTTGCCAACTATTCCAACTGACCCGAAGAAATGAGTTTCCTGACCAATAGCACATTCATTCATTCATTCATTCATTCATTCATTCATTCATTCATTCATTCATTCATTCATTCATTCATTCATTCATTCATTCATTCATTCATTCATTCATCCATTCATTGTTTCATTCATTCATTCGTTTATTCATCTGTTGCGCATCAAATGATTCAATATAGGAGATGAACACTCAACTGACCAATGAACAGTATATGAGCACTGTGTACACGTGTTTGATCTCACTCACTTGTTCGGAATAAGGAGAAGTGCATATTGACCGACTGCTTACTCGCATCCCAACACGAATTGAACAATTCTCAGTCTGATCGGCCTCTTCCACGTGAACAATACATGAATGAATAAGAACTCATAATGATCCATGTGATTTCCCAGTCCCAATTCAGAATGGTCAAATATGGACTACTGATCGACTCACAACAGTCCACATAGAAACAATTTGTACTGATATCACTTGAACATATTTCGAAACAAACTACACAAAATAGCAAAGCGGAATAGTCACACCTGTTTCGCAATGCAACAAACGAACAGACAACCAAACAAAGCATATTGAATTGTCCAATTCACCCAACTGTTCGCATTTGTGCACAAACGATTTCACACTTCAACTGTGCCAGTCGACAAGAGAGAACTGATTCGCCCTCTTCTTATCATATAACGTTACTCTACTCAAATACGACGCTTATTATTATATGCTTGTTCTCATTCGATTGGATACATCAATCAGTGTACATTGTTCGTTTCTCATCTGTCTTGATTGCAGATCCACAGAAAACGGAAGACGGTGAGCTGTGTTATTGATCATGTTGCAGTTTGGTCTTGTTCATTTGTTTTTAGCATGATTCACTTGACGGACGGTGTGGAACAATGAGGATCATGCTGCTCTGTTCTCTTCCCAATTTGATTCGTCTCTTTGCTACAACAAGCAATTCACATTTGGCTACTTCACTGTGTGCAGTAGACGAACAATTTCCCAATTGGTCTCTTTATCCACACTGATTTGCTAACGCAAATAAACACGATCCGGTTGGACATTCTAATTGAAAATGACAAACGAATTGGGGGCACTGGAAATTAGTCTCTCATATGTTCCCATTAGATAGATCTAAGCACTCGAATGATTTGATCATCAAAACACAAATCAAACATATGCTATCTTGCCAACTATTCCAACTGACCCGAAGAAATGAGTTTCCTGACCAATAGCACATTCATTCATTCATTCATTCATTCATTCATTCATTCATTCATTCATTCATTCATTCATTCATTCATTCATTCATTCATTCATTCATTCATTCATTCATTCATCCATTCATTGTTTCATTCATTCATTCGTTTATTCATCTGTTGCGCATCAAATGATTCAATATAGGAGATGAACACTCAACTGACCAATGAACAGTATATGAGCACTGTGTACACGTGTTTGATCTCACTCACTTGTTCGGAATAAGGAGAAGTGCATATTGACCGACTGCTTACTCGCATCCCAACACGAATTGAACAATTCTCAGTCTGATCGGCCTCTTCCACGTGAACAATACATGAATGAATAAGAACTCATAATGATCCATGTGATTTCCCAGTCCCAATTCAGAATGGTCAAATATGGACTACTGATCGACTCACAACAGTCCACATAGAAACAATTTGTACTGATATCACTTGAACATATTTCGAAACAAACTACACAAAATAGCAAAGCGGAATAGTCACACCTGTTTCGCAATGCAACAAACGAACAGACAACCAAACAAAGCATATTGAATTGTCCAATTCACCCAACTGTTCGCATTTGTGCACAAACGATTTCACACTTCAACTGTGCCAGTCGACAAGAGAGAACTGATTCGCCCTCTTCTTATCATATAACGTTACTCTACTCAAATACGACGCTTATTATTATATGCTTGTTCTCATTCGATTGGATACATCAATCAGTGTACATTGTTCGTTTCTCATCTGTCTTGATTGCAGATCCACAGAAAACGGAAGACGGTGAGCTGTGTTATTGATCATGTTGCAGTTTGGTCTTGTTCATTTGTTTTTAGCATGATTCACTTGACGGACGGTGTGGAACAATGAGGATCATGCTGCTCTGTTCTCTTCCCAATTTGATTCGTCTCTTTGCTACAACAAGCAATTCACATTTGGCTACTTCACTGTGTGCAGTAGACGAACAATTTCCCAATTGGTCTCTTTATCCACACTGATTTGCTAACGCAAATAAACACGATCCGGTTGGACATTCTAATTGAAAATGACAAACGAATTGGGGGCACTGGAAATTAGTCTCTCATATGTTCCCATTAGATAGATCTAAGCACTCGAATGATTTGATCATCAAAACACAAATCAAACATATGCTATCTTGCCAACTATTCCAACTGACCCGAAGAAATGAGTTTCCTGACCAATAGAACATTCATTCATTCATTCATTCATTCATTCATTCATTCATTCATTCATTCATTCATTCATTCATTCATTCATTCATTCATTCATTCATTCATTCATTCATCCATTCATTGTTTCATTCATTCATTCGTTTATTCATCTGTTGCGCATCAAATGATTCAATATAGGAGATGAACACTCAACTGACCAATGAACAGTATATGAGCACTGTGTACACGTGTTTGATCTCACTCACTTGTTCGGAATAAGGAGAAGTGCATATTGACCGACTGCTTACTCGCATCCCAACACGAATTGAACAATTTTCAGTCTGATCGGCCTCTTCCACGTGAACAATACATGAATGAATAAGAACTCATAATGATCCATGTGATTTCCCAGTCCCAATTCAGAATGGTCAAATATGGACTACTGATCGACTCACAACAGTCCACATAGAAACAATTTGTACTGATATCACTTGAACATATTTCGAAACAAACTACACAAAATAGCAAAGCGGAATAGTCACACCTGTTTCGCAATGCAACAAACGAACAGACAACCAAACAAAGCATATTGAATTGTCCAATTCACCCAACTGTTCGCATTTGTGCACAAACGATTTCACACTTCAACTGTGCCAGTCGACAAGAGAGAACTGATTCGCCCTCTTCTTATCATATAACGTTACTCTACTCAAATACGACGCTTATTATTATATGCTTGTTCTCATTCGATTGGATACATCAATCAGTGTACATGGTTCGTTTCTCATCTGTCTTGATTGCAGATCCACAGAAAACGGAAGACGGTGAGCTGTGTTATTGATCATGTTGCAGTTTGGTCTTGTTCATTTGTTTTTAGCATGATTCACTTGACGGACGGTGTGGAACAATGAGGATCATGCTGCTCTGTTCTCTTCCCAATTTGATTCGTCTCTTTGCTACAACAAGCAATTCACATTTGGCTACTTCACTGTGTGCAGTAGACGAACAATTTCCCAATTGGTCTCTTTATCCACACTGATTTGCTAACGCAAATAAACACGATCCGGTTGGACATTCTAATTGAAAATGACAAACGAATTGGGGGCACTGGAAATTAGTCTCTCATATGTTCCCATTAGATAGATCTAAGCACTCGAATGATTTGATCATCAAAACACAAATCAAACATATGCTATCTTGCCAACTATTCCAACTGACCCGAAGAAATGAGTTTCCTGACCAATAGAACATTCATTCATTCATTCATTCATTCATTCATTCATTCATTCATTCATTCATTCATTCATTCATTCATTCATTCATTCATTCATTCATTCATCCATTCATTGTTTCATTCATTCATTCGTTTATTCATCTGTTGCGCATCAAATGATTCAATATAGGAGATGAACACTCAACTGACCAATGAACAGTATATGAGCACTGTGTACACGTGTTTGATCTCACTCACTTGTTCGGAATAAGGAGAAGTGCATATTGACCGACTGCTTACTCGCATCCCAACACGAATTGAACAATTCTCAGTCTGATCGGCCTCTTCCACGTGAACAATACATGAATGAATAAGAACTCATAATGATCCATGTGATTTCCCAGTCCCAATTCAGAATGGTCAAATATGGACTACTGATCGACTCACAACAGTCCACATAGAAACAATTTGTACTGATATCACTTGAACATATTTCGAAACAAACTACACAAAATGGCAAAGCGGAATAGACACACCTGTTTCGCAATGCAACAAACGAACAGACAACCAAACAAAGCATATTGAATTGTCCAATTCACCCAACTGTTCGCATTTGTGCACAAACGATTTCACACTTCAACTGTGCCAGTCGACAAGAGAGAACTGATTCGCCCTCTTCTTATCATATAACGTTACTCTACTCAAATACGACGCTTATTATTATATGCTTGTTCTCATTCGATTGGATACATCAATCAGTGTACATTGTTCGTTTCTCATCTTTCTTGATTGCAGATCCACAGAAAACGGAAGACGGTGAGCTGTGTTATTGATCATGTTGCAGTTTGGTCTTGTTCATTTGTTTTTAGCATGATTCACTTGACGGACGGTGTGGAACAATGAGGATCATGCTGCTCTGTTCTCTTCCCAATTTGATTCGTCTCTTTGCTACAACAAGCAATTCACATTTGGCTACTTCACTGTGTGCAGTAGACGAACAATTTCCCAATTGGTCTCTTTATCCACACTGATTTGCTAACGCAAATAAACACGATCCGGTTGGACATTCTAATTGAAAATGACAAACGAATTGGGGGCACTGGAAATTAGTCTCTCATATGTTCCCATTAGATAGATCTAAGCACTCGAATGATTTGATCATCAAAACACAAATCAAACATATGCTATCTTGCCAACTATTCCAACTGACCCGAAGAAATGAGTTTCCTGACCAATAGCACATTCATTCATTCATTCATTCATTCATTCATTCATTCATTCATTCATTCATTCATTCATTCATTCATCCATTCATTCTATCATTAATTGATTCAACCATCCATTCATTATTTGATTCATAGATTCATTGACTGATTGATTGATTGATTCATTCGTTCATTCGTTTATTCATCTGTTGCGCATCAATGATTCAATATAGGAGATGAACACTCAACTGACCAGTGAACAGTATAGGAGCACTGTGTACACGTGTTTGATCTCACTCACTTGTTCGGAATAAGGAGAGGTGCATATTGACCGACTGCTTACTCGCATCCCAACACGAATTGAACAATTCTCAGTCTGATCGGCCTCTTCCACGTGAACAATACATGAATGAATAAGAACTCATAATGATCCATGTGATTTCCCAGTCCCAATTCAGAATGGTCAAATATGGACTACTGATCGACTCACAACAGTCCACATAGAAACAATTTGTACTGATATCACTTGAACATATTTCGAAACAAACTACACAAAATAGCAAAGCGGAATAGTCACACCTGTTTCGCAATGCAACAAACGAACAGACAACCAAACAAAGCATATTGAATTGTCCAATTCACCCAACTGTTCGCATTTGTGCACAAACGATTTCACACTTCAACTGTGCCAGTCGACAAGAGAGAACTGATTCGCCCTCTTCTTATCATATAACGTTAATCTACTCAAATACGACGCTTATTATTATATGCTTGTTCTCATTCGATTGGATACATCAATCAGTGTACATTGTTCGTTTCTCATCTGTCTTGATTGCAGATCCACAGAAAACGGAAGACGGTGAGCTGTGTTATTGATCATGTTGCAGTTTGGTCTTGTTCATTTGTTTTTAGCATGATTCACTTGACGGACGGTGTGGAACAATGAGGATCATGCTGCTCTGTTCTCTTCCCAATTTGATTCGTCTCTTTGCTACAACAAGCAATTCACATTTGGCTACTTCACTGTGTGCAGTAGACGAACAATTTCCCAATTGGTCTCTTTATCCACACTGATTTGCTAACGCAAATAAACACGATCCGGTTGGACATTCTAATTGAAAATGACAAACGAATTGGGGGCACTGGAAATTAGTCTCTCATATGTTCCCATTAGATAGATCTAAGCACTCGAATGATTTGATCATCAAAACACAAATCAAACATATGCTATCTTGCCAACTATTCCAACTGACCCGTAGAAATGAGTTTCCTGACCAATAGCACATTCATTCAATAATGAATTAATTAATTAATTAATTAATTAATTAATTAATTAATTAATTAATTCATCCATTCATTGTTTCATTCATTCATTCGTTTGTTCATGTGTTGCGCATCAAATGATTCAATATAGGAGATGAACACTCAACTGACCAATGAACAGTATATGAGCACTGTGTACACGTGTTTGATCTCACTCACTTGTTCGGAATAAGGAGAAGTGCATATTGACCGACTGCTTACTCGCATCCCAACACGAATTGAACGATTCTCAGTCTGATCGGCCTCTTCCACGTGAACAATACATGAATGAATAAGAACTCATAATGATCCATGTGATTTCCCAGTCCCAATTCAGAATGGTCAAATATGGACTACTGATCGACTCACAACAGTCCACATAGAAACAATTTGTACTGATATCACTTGAACATATTTCGAAACAAACTACACAAAACGGCAAAGCGGAATAGTCACACCTGTTTCGCAATGCAACAAACGAACAGACAACCAAACAAAGCATATTGAATTGTCCAATTCACCCAACTGTTCGCATTTGTGCACAAACGATTTCACACTTCAACTGTGCCAGTCGACAAGAGAGAACTGATTCGCCCTCTTCTTATCATATAACGTTACTCTACTCAAATACGACGCTTATTATTATATGCTTGTTCTCATTCGATTGGATACATCAATCAGTGTACATTGTTCGTTTCTCATCTGTCTTGATTGCAGATCCACGGAAAACGGAAGACGGTGAGCTGTGTTATTGATCATGTTGCAGTTTGGTCTTGTTCATTTGTTTTTAGCATGATTCACTTGACGGACGGTGTGGAACAATGAGGATCATGCTGCTCTGTTCTCTTCCCAATTTGATTCGTCTCTTTGCTACAACAAGCAATTCACATTTGGCTACTTCACTGTGTGCAGTAGACGAACAATTTCCCAATTGGTCTCTTTATCCACACTGATTTGCTAACGCAAATAAACACGATCCGGTTGGACATTCTAATTGAAAATGACAAACGAATTGGGGGCACTGGAAATTAGTCTCTCATATGTTCCCATTAGATAGATCTAAGCACTCGAATGATTTGATCATCAAAACACAAATCAAACATATGCTATCTTGCCAACTATTCCAACTGACCCGAAGAAATGAGTTTCCTGACCAATAGCACATTCATTCATTCATTCATTCATTCATTCATTCATTCATTCATTCATTCATTCTGTGTTTCATTCATTTATTCATTCATCCATTCATTCATTCATACATTCATTCATTCAACCCTTCATTCATTCCTTCATTCATTCATCCATTCATTGTTTCATTCATTCATTCCTTTATTCATCTGTTGCGCATCAAATGATTCAATATAGGAGATGAACACTCAACTGACCAATGAACAGTATAGGAGCACTGTGTACACGTGTTTGATCTCACTCACTTGTTCGGAATAAGGAGAAGTGCATATTGACCGACTGCTTACTCGCATCCCAACACGAATTGAACAATTCTCAGTCTGATCGGCCTCTTCCACGTGAACAATACATGAATGAATAAGAACTCATAATGATCCATGTGATTTCCCAGTCCCAATTCAGAATGGTCAAATATGGACTACTGATCGACTCACAACAGTCCACATAGAAACAATTTGTACTGATATCACTTGAACATATTTCGAAACAAACTACACAAAATGGCAAAGCGGAATAGACACACCTGTTTCGCAATGCAACAAACGAACAGACAACCAAACAAAGCATATTGAATTGTCCAATTCACCCAACTGTTCGCATTTGTGCACAAACGATTTCACACTTCAACTGTGCCAGTCGACAAGAGAGAACTGATTCGCCCTCTTCTTATCATATACCGTTAATCTACTCAAATACGACGCTTATTATTATATGCTTGTTCTCATTCGATTGGATACATCAATCAGTGTACATTGTTCGTTTCTCATCTTTCTTGATTGCAGATCCACGGAAAACGGAAGACGGTGAGCTGTGTTATTGATCATGTTGCAGTTTGGTCTTGTTCATTTGTTTTTAGCATGATTCACTTGACGGACGGTGTGGAACAATGAGGATCATGCTGCTCTGTTCTCTTCCCAATTTGATTCGTCTCTTTGCTACAACAAGCAATTCACATTTGGCTACTTCACTGTGTGCAGTAGACGAACAATTTCCCAATTGGTCTCTTTATCCACACTGATTTGCTAACGCAAATAAACACGATCCGGTTGGACATTCTAATTGAAAATGACAAACGAATTGGGGGCACTGGAAATAAGTCTCTCATATGTTCCCATCAGATAGATCTAAGCACTCGAATGATTTGATCATCAAAACACAAATCAAACATATGCTATCTTGCCAACTATTCCAACTGACCCGTAGAAATGAGTTTCCTGACCAATAGCACATTCATTCATTCATTCATTCATTGTTTCATTCATTCATTCATTCATTCATCCATTCATTCATTCATTCATTCATTAATTCATTCATTCATTCATTCATTCATTCATTCATTCATTCATTCATTGTTTCATTCATTCATTCATTCATTCATCCATTCATTGTTTCATTCATTCATTCGTTTATTCATCTGTTGCGCATCAATGATTCAATATAGGAGATGAACACTCAACTGACCAATGAACAGTATATGAGCACTGTGTACACGTGTTTGATCTCACTCACTTGTTCGGAATAAGGAGAAGTGCATATTGACCGACTGCTTACTCGCATCCCAACACGAATTGAACAATTCTCAGTCTGATCGGCCTCTTCCACGTGAACAATACATGAATGAATAAGAACTCATAATGATCCATGTGATTTCCCAGTCCCAATTCAGAATGGTCAAATATGGACTACTGATCGACTCACAACAGTCCACATAGAAACAATTTGTACTGATATCACTTGAACATATTTCGAAACAAACTACACAAAATAGCAAAGCGGAATAGTCACACCTGTTTCGCAATGCAACAAACGAACAGACAACCAAACAAAGCATATTGAATTGTCCAATTCACCCAACTGTTCGCATTTGTGCGCAAACGATTTCACACTTCAACTGTGCCAGTCGACACGAGAGAACTGATTCGCCCTCTTCTTATCATATAACGTTACTCTACTCAAATACGACGCTTATTATTATATGCTTGTTCTCATTCGATTGGATACATCAACCAGAGTACATTGTTCGATTCTCATCTGTCTTGATTGCAGATCCACAGAAAACGGAAGACGGTGAGCTGTGTTATTGATCATGTTGCAGTTTGGTCTTGTTCATTTGTTTTTAGC